GACCAGTGGTACACTGGAAACAATTTATCTCTGGGACAATTAAACCAAGGAGTTAATACAACTCCTTCATTAAACTAGGAAACAATTGACCTTCCTACCTTGACATATTAAGTAGAATATTTTAATTTGATAATTAAAGTTGCTAGAGACATCAAAATGTTTTTTTCAAAAACTATTTTACATCAGACTCATTGATGCTCTGAGCCCTATTCCATTTTCATCTAATCATTACTTGAAAAAAGGTTTGAACAGTACAGAATTTACAGATAATACTTCCTACTTGAGTATTTAAAAACTAATTTAAGTAGACCTATTGATGCTCCAAGTCTGACATGTACTTTGTCCCATCAAAATCTGTTAGGAATAGGTATGAACTGTACCCATGGTACCTCCTATTTGAAATTCATTGAATAAAGAACTAGATTAATTATACCATGATGCTCAAAGTCCTATTCAACTTATCAAAACATTGTTATTTATATAGGTGTGAACAGTACCTACAGTATGGTACCTCCTACATTACCCGAATACAGAACTATTTCAATCGCACCCTTGATGCTCCAAGTCATACTCGTCTCATCAAAACATTGTTAGTGATAGGTGTGAACAGTAGCCCAAGGAGACAGTCCCTGTAATTGGACTGTGCTGTGAGTATGAGCACGGGCCATCAATTATCTATCTATCCTCGTACCCTGCCATGTTTATAACCCACTGTCCGTCGTTGTAGAAATTACACCTCCCTGCGGCGATTCCTGATGTCTTGTGATAGCTAAGGTTAAGCGATGGTAATCCCTCTTCATCGGCCTAAATCATTTCATTAATTCATTATCAAACAATTAGGAGGGAGAGTGAGAGGGTTGGAGCTAAAAATAAGATGGAAAGAAACCCTACGGATCATCTACCGTTGCATCAACAGTGCCTACATCTCCCTGATTTCTTACACTCAATCAAATTCTATAATTAACAGTTAATGTGTTTAGGCATCGAGATGAATATCTTTTATCTCTATATTGTTACATTCTTACTCACTTTAAGCCAACTCCTGATGCCCCCCCCCCTCCCCCCCCCCCCCCCCCCCCCCCCTCTCTCTCTCTCTCTCTCTCTCTTTCATCTTACTTCAAAATCTTCCTTCTCGTCGTCATAGCCTATCCTTTTACGTCTCCATTATTGTTACTTTTTAAATCAGATGACATTGTTTCTATTATTACTCTATTCCCCTTCTCATTCTGTCTCCATATATTTCTCCTGCCACCCTTCTCTCTCTCCCTCTCTTTCCCTATCTCTGTCTCACCCTCTCTTGTTTGTTTTTAAAAAGCCATCTTCATTGATCTCTCAACATGGCTGCCGGTCCGAGGGAGCTTACTCTTTCGCAAACAAGCGATCGGTTGTCACAAAACGCCGCAGGCCTGCCAACTGGCATCCAACATGCACACGCATGCACGGACACACGACATGTCTGCCATGTACTAGTAGCTATGTTGGCAGGATATGTAACTGGTCGGTGAGCTAGTATGTATACACCTCTCTCCTCTGCCCACTCTTTCCTTTACTGTTCTATTGTGTACGGAGACACATCTGGCATGTCAACGACTGATTCATGCGCCAACCGCTATCATTGCACATTATACTTAACACCTACATGTATCATGAATAGGCCTGTATAATAATCACAGTATCACAATTGATATATGTAACCAACAAGTTCTAAGACATTTCATGTAGGTATTCATGGTGAAAATTCATTGTTCTTAAATTTGCAACCCGTAATTTGTTTGTGATATTGCCAAAAAATACAAATGCTTCAAAAATAATGGTTCACACAGATACAAAAAACATCTTTCTTGCGTTTCGGTATAATCAATATTATAAAACCTTATCAACGTTTGATTAGTACCAGCATAATCTTTGAAAAAATGTTTTGGTATCCTTGAATCAACACACAGCAAATTTACTACAAGCTGGCAAGATAATATCACAAGTACATGTAGGTCTGGTTTTGAAGACTACATTGAGAGCTATCCTTGAGTCTTGGTTTAAGTTACAGACGACCTTTTGACAGTACACAACTCAAGTGTCCTGAGATGACCCTGAGTCTGAAGAGAATATGACTTCCTAGAATTCTACCCAATCCTACCAATATCCATCATCATTCTCTAAATCGTTGGGTAAACTTTTATGGTGAAGCAGATTACCATGTCAGATCATGACATGAGTAAGGAGCCTTTGGCGTTTACAGAGAATGCTTTCAAAAGAACCACTTACTAATATTAGTAATACCAATATAATGGCTGGATGGTAATGGAAACTTGTGACGATGACAAAATGTTTGTCTACTTTCTTTCATAGTGGCATTATCTACCATTACACAAAATGTTATAATAATAATCAAAATGAAATATCTATTAATTGATACTCAGAAGTACCCCTACACTAAGCCTTGTTCTTGTAGAGTACAATATCACAAAGCCTATGAGACTTGAAACTGATTAAATATGGGGTGACACTTGCACTTTTTCTATTTCCACATTATGAATTCATATCCTCATAACCAAGGCTGCCCCTGAGTTCATTTATTTAATATCTAATCAACAAATTAATCAATTAATGACCATGAACATTCTTCTGGATGAATTTTTATTTAATGGTAACCTCTAAAATCTGCAGATTCATCATAAACACAACCCAATGTGGCAAAGGGGAAGACAGAGAAGAAAGAAAGATGGAGAATAGAGTGGAACAAGGAAGATGAGAAATGAGGAGAGCTTTGGAGAGAAGTACACAAAAAACAGGGCAAGAATATTTATGAAAAGATCGGAGATGGACGAGAAGAAAAGGAGCAAGAGAAGGAGCAGAGAAGGAGCAAAAAAGGGAGAGGGCAAAAGGGAAGCTAGACTCCTGGAAATTTAAAACAAGATAGAGTGAGAAGAAGAAAAAAGATGGAGGATAAAAAAGAGAGAAAGAATGGGATATTAAAAACACAGTGGGGTTGGGAGAGCAAGAAATGCAAAAAGGAAAGAAGAGAAGAAGAAGAGCAGAGAAGAGAAGAAGAAGAGAGGAGGAGACAGGAGGAGCAAGATATTAGGAGTGGGAAGATGGAGTGGGAGGATCACACACACAAAAAAACATGAGTATCATTCAAAGTTCCAAGAAAAAGGTGAACTTTCCAAGACTACCAAAAAAAATTGATCTCTTGGCTGTAAATCACCCACTCACTCTCACACACCCCCTCTCCACCCCTCTACACCCCTACCAGCATGATCCTGTGTCCTTAACTGACCCTGGACAAGGTCAAATAATTAAGGTCAGCTCAAATTTACCCTGACTGCTGAAGAATTCTTGTAAACATAGCGTAGAGATTATCATGCTGAGAGAGGCTATGAAATGAGCATGCCTCCAGGGATAAACTGATAAGATAATGCTCAGATCCTACACACTGATACAGTTCATCAGCTAGTTTGGATTCCCAAACTCCTTTCAAACATCTACTAATCTGATAAACTGTAAGAATTTGTGAATAGCCGGGTAAGAAAACATCATGAAGTCATACTCTTAAAATAGCATTTTGCAATAGGCAAATGATGGAAAAACAAAAGGAAGTGTGATGATTCATATCAATTGTTGCACTTTCAATGATGAAATAGATGAAATTGAAAAATATCACTGAATCAAAGACTACATGTGGCTCAACCACAACATCTACAAAGTTAAATGCTAGGTAGATGTACATATGTACATCTAGATCTTATAGGCCTACATGTATGTGTATTATCTGACATTGTACCCACACAATTGATCTGCAGAAGGCTAGAAAGGATAAATAGTAAATAGCAAATAGTTCTTGCTCTCAACAGGAAAGTAATAGGTACTCAGATAAGTATTGCTATGTCAATCAGTCCTAAATAATATAGTAATTACAATCATGAAACTTCATAAAAAGGAAATTTCAGCAATTGACATATCACTAAATAAAAAAAGAATACTATTTCTTAATTTTTATGGGGCACTCTGTACCCATTTGCAGAGTGTACAAAGTGCATCTGCAACACGTAGACCTACCTGACTACAGTACGTACATGTACGTGTGCAAAGAAAACAAGTCAATGAATTGCTAACTCAACACATATCTCATGAGAAGCCATGCATAAACAAACCAAACCAATAATAGATCCACCATGCTTATCATTATATCAAGGCTATTGATAATCCCTATAAGCCAAATTGGCAATTAAGATAGATGTCTGGGTGACTCTGTATCTAACTAAGCACATGTAAAGGCTATCAGATTAATCAAATCTAATCCAATATACATACAACTGTATACAGTAGTATGTAACTCAAGTTATAAACAAACACTCTGTTCCAGACGGTAAGATAATAAAAGAGATTGTGTGTTTTAAGAAGGACTCTACACATGATTTGGCATGGGGTTAACAGGGGTAACGTCCTTCTGCCATTCCTTGCTCTAATCAGACAGTCAAAACAATATTTAGGTTTGTACTAAAAAAAAATACTCTACTGAAGATCAAAGAAATGTCTTAGAGTAATCAGCCTGAGGGGGATTTAAAAAAAAATCTTTTCAAAATGAAATTTCTAAAAAAAAAATAATCAAAGTCCATGGAGAGTGAATCCTACTACCATGACATATCATAGAAGCCATTATGATTCATGTGCAACATAAAGCTCAAATGTACTATTGAAACAACTTGAGAGACTCATTATGTAATAATAAGTATTGTAAATAATAATCAAATATAAATAAATAACAATTGTTAAAGCACATTGAGAGGGGTATAACATCGGCCTCAATACGTGCCATTTCCCTGATGGCCGGCACGATGACGCTGCTTATCGTCTCACTAGCATGTTTCCGAACTCATGAACAAACAGCAAATGTCGATAAAGAAAAACATTGACTCATACATTTTTTAAGAGAGCGGGAGGGGGTGGGTAAAATTGTTGAATTGTTTATTGATATGTGTTTAAATATGATTCCAGTTTACCTTTCAGAAAAGAGCGCGTGATATGGGATCCAAGCGAGAGAGGAAGTCCATGTAGATACTCCAGTTAATGTATGTTTCCACGCTAATCCAAATAACAGAGCTAGCTGCCCAAGCACAAACGAACTTGAGAAGCACACGGATAGAATTGATGACGACAAGTAGACGTCCTGACGCAAATATAGCCGACATTCACCAGTTCCCACGTCCCATAGCGAGCGGGTGGATGCATGTATGGGTTGGTTGGCAGGCAAGAGATGTCGCGCTTCCCCTCTCTCACCACCGACTGGGGGGAAATTCGTTGGGCAAAGTGTACTGTAACTAATCACGCACAAGTAGTGCAGCAGCCAACATTTGTGTGTGTGTGGATGAATGTACTAGATGTGTACGGAGTGTGTCTCTGCGCTGGTTGAGCGGTCGCGGTATTAGGGACTCGTTGATATTATCAGACTTGTATACACACACACACACAGACACGCAATACACACCCACACACACATTCATATCATAGCTAAGAGTGCTTCTACACACACTCGCACTTGACAAACATTAACGCACACCAAGCAATGGGATACTATCTACATACTTGTACTACATAATGACATGACAAAAGCTAGTCTTGAGTAACAGCCTCATTACGATTTCGCAAATGAACATCTTCCTTTTCAGAGGCTTGCAAAGAGAGTGCGTTCGTTCACAAAATACGGTAATAGTGTTCAATTATTTTTTTTAATTGAATCTCTGAAACATTAATTACAGAAACACCTTGTACCACCCTTCCCCCTCTTCACATGAAATTATATGTTACATTATAGGCTCATTTACACATGTAAATAAACGACACACCACAGAGGTGGGTTTTTTTTTTTTATATTATTTTGGATGTTGCCTAGCAACTTCCGACATAACACCGGAATGTGAGAAAAATATAAGATTTTCCCTTGCAGTGTAAATGCAGCTTTAGTTAGAGGAGCCTCTGCATGCACATGTACCTCACCTGTACTAGTCTTTACAAACTTTGGGCCATAATTAAATTTTGTAGCAAAATGCTACACAAGAAAAATAATGAAGTAAATGAACTTAGGGTTTTATGAATGTCATACAACAATGTTATCCTTTAGCCATACATCAGACTTCCTTACTGAAACTAAAAAGATTTTTACCTGCCTAGATGTACAAGATGCACAAGATATTTCTGTAGTAATTCATTCTGGGCCATGATTGCCCTTTCCATTAATCCATCATTAAACAAGCCTCAAAATGTCCTTTCACGTCCCTTTATACAATGTTTCCTCCCATATGAATGGGACCAATGTCAATTCATATGCATGGGGACCGTGTAACAACTAGGGTCTGTGAGTGCAGACCTTCACACGCCAGATGATACTAAACCGCTCAACACAAAATGCACAGACATGGTATTATTTGCTCAACGGTAGAACAAACTCCAATGAGTGACCTGGGCATGGAGTGTTGATCGCAGGAATTTTGTCGGCTGAGGGGTCAGGCAGCTGGGAGGAGAAGAGAGCTTGCAACAAAAATATTGGCTTACAGATAAAGTGAGACATTGCTATTTGTCATGGTATCAAGTTTTAAGAGGTGGCTGGGTTTACATTCACCCTGCCTGCCTGCCATACATCATACTTTACAAGATTGGATTATGGGTGTGAACTAACAGGCTCTAGATGTGACATGGTACCGTAGGATTCGAGATGAAGATATACTAGGATCATAAAACTATAAGGCCTATAGATATGACCCTAGAGGTTTAGAGAAATAAAACGGTCAAGGAATTACAAATGTTTATTGCTTCATACTTCTAAGTGATTATATGACATATGCTCCCTTGACAATGGCTCCAGGTAATATCCTACACTAACCTCATTCTTCACTTCAACCCTGGACCAAAAACTATTCATAACCATAACCAATCCATAAACCTAACCTAAACCCAACTGCAACACTAACCATAACCCTGTAACTTCAATTAATAAAGCCTGGAGCAATTGGTACAGACATTTATGTCAGACAACCATCTATGTATGCTTCTATCTACAAGTATATTTGTAATAAAACTAGACAATATAAATCATTTTGAATCGATTCACTGACAATACAACTTTAAAAAGTAGGTCTCGATCACAATTCTTTTGTTTGATTTATGCCAAATGGGCACGCTACAAATATTTGTCAATATTTGTCAAGCATTACAATGCGGAAACGAGAATTGATAATTTCAAGCAATTATATCATACCAGCTTCTTTGTAGGGTTTTCACTCAAAATAGAAAGCTAGTGCATTTGAAAGCACCAAGTTGATATATTGTCTAACAGAAAGTGTCCGACTTTTTTCTCACATTTTTGGCACATACCCAAAGAGTTTTTTTTCTTTCCATTTTTGTTAAATAACAAAATCACAGAAATACCCGGTATGCAGCAATGATGAGCTGTTCAGCTTCTATCAATTTCATACTAAAGGGGAGGTATCATGCACCTAAAACTGAAGGTAGGCCTCGCTAAATGCAGTTTGAGTTCAAGGTCATAGATAAAAAAAAATAGGTGCTACAGTGTAGGTGCGCCCACATGTACATAATATAAAAATAGAATAAAGTAACTCCATCTATTTCTGTCAAAATGTAAGTTTGCAAGCTACAGAAGTATCAGAATAAGTCTGTAAATCCTGTTTTATTAATAAAAAAAGTATAGGCCTAAAAGATCGTGGGTTAAGAATTCACCAGGGCGACAAGATTTACCTGCCTGACAAAATTTTTCAGAACAAAGTCTCTTTAACACAATCTGAAAAACGACTTTAAAAGTCTTGGGTTGTGCCAACTGCTCCAACAAAACTGTGAAAAATGTCCTCGGCGGATCGGATAGCGCCCTAGAAAAGTGACTTATATGGCATGGAACGCAAAGGTCTACTGGGTCAACTACCCTCATACCATACCAGCGTTGGGTACATGACCCCCCTCCTCCCCCCCCCCCCCCCAATCTGGTTCATGATAGCACTTCACATGTTTTTGCCTTTCAAGGATGAAGAATGGACCAAGGATTATAAAATCAACCTCTCCTTTATCACGATGATGATGATGAAGGATGGCAGTTCATGTACATGTACAAGAATAAGTCGAGTTCTTGTACAGGTGAACAAAATCATATGTCAACTTTCTCTTTCTCATTATCCCATTTGAAGAATATAATAATAGCAATGTCCCATGAGGGTTTGCACTTGAAATGTTCTCACATCTTAATGTATGATATCTCATATTATTGTGTAGTCCCATGTACCTACATTCATGTCCAATTTTTCTATCACTTGTGATTTTCAACAAGATTTACTCAATCTTTAGATGATTAAAAAACCTGATAATAATGCACCATCATGATCGACAACAAAATAAAACATTCATAATAACTTCTAGACAGCACTCCAGAAATGCTATTTCCTTAACTAAACCTTAACATTACCTTTAAATTTGATTTTGTTTCTTTACTCTAGAACATCGCATGACGACATTCAACCAGCCTGCCTGGGATCACCAGGTCCCTCTAATCATGTGCACTGGATTTTTTTTTCTCCTTTTCTTTCTTTAAATATGGCGGAAAGGTTTGAGCGCTCTCCTTTCCTGGTCGGTTATGATGAGATTCGCGTGAGGGGAAACGGGAGAGGAAAGCATTCTGTTTACGAAGGGAAGCTCTTTATTGCTGGCTCGTGTCCCATTTATTGATTAATGCAAACAAGAACGTTGGAAAATGTTTTTCTTTCACTGTTGTTTTTCACTGCTCCCCCTTTTTCTTCATCTCTCTTTCTCTATTGCACTCTCTCTCTCTCTCTCTCTCTCTCTCTCTGACGTTATCTGTTGTTATTCAGTATTAAGATGATTTAAAACAATAGCTCTCAAAATGTAACTGAAGTACCAACACATATCTCTTTATGACATGAATAAACATTAAATTGTACATATAAATTCTAAAAAGAGCAATATTCCAATCAAAATAAAAGCACCAAGATCGTTCAGACTAACACCCCCCCCCCCAAAAAAAAAAGATAAACATGCAAAAACTGCATGTAGGAATTTTCTTTTCACAAATGATCATAGGCCAAATAACGGATTACACCTCTATCCTATTCAGCATCTTCCATCTGCAGTAAATATTAATGTACGATACTAAAAAACAATAAACGTGACACTGTATTACAACGGGCTGGATCGGCAACTACTCTGATTTAGGACAGGTCATTTATCAGCATATATGCGAGGTATAATTTACTAGCGGAAGATGGGGGAAAAGAGTGTGGAATCCATAATTGCGGTGGATACTGGAATTCATACAAATGTCCCGTTTTTGGAATGGCGCAAACATATTAGTCACAAGGCAATCCAAATAATTTATGAGACGTATCGCCTTACATGGCCCTAGGCCTGAGTCATCCCCGCTTGTTGAGGGGCGAGAAGAGTGGAGGATGGGCGCGCGTTAGGCCCCCTCAGAGAGGAGGTGGAGTACTGACATGGTACTTGGATGTATCCAGGAATGAAGCTCAAAGGAGGAGAGGGGGATGTTGTCTGGTAGATTGGTTGAATGTGAATACAATTACAGAACGATGTAAAATCACGCATTGCGAGAGTGCAGTTTTCTTTTTTTGTGTGGACAGTGTAAGGTGATTAACCAGGCAACCATGATGGTATTCAACACATCACGTGTAATGACGGATCTCCAGTTGAAACTCAATTTGATAAAAACAAAGGAACTTATTTGCAAATGATCGCTTAACATAAAGCTTCGTCTTTCCAAACACTAGTATAAGCTTACGTTCACGGTATTCCCACCTGAAATTTGAAATTTAAAAATTGGTGAAAGGGAATTCATGGACGTTGACTGATATGAACCATGACATAACATATAAAACAGGATTTGACAGACGCTGACTAAGATTATGTTTGGAAGCAATGTTCTCTTTGTTTGCAGCATGCAAGCATTACAATAAATCAATACATTAATGGCTCGAATGTATCCAGTATGTTCTGTTCACTAATAAACCTGAAAAGAAAATGAGCGCTTGGGATTGATTTTGAGTACGTCGTAATATGTGGCACAGTGGCTAAGTACAATGTATACGAGCGCATTAACATACATTAATGTACACTGAAACATGCATCATGTACATTCTGTATATCGCTAATGGTGCGCTGCATTTGACGTTCAAGAAAGAAAGAAATTTCATGGAATCTAAAAGAAAAGAATATTAAGGAACACCATCACGTACCAGACATCAACAAACCAGATACAAATTTACAATCGGTGACCACTTACATACCTCAAATTCTATCCAAATCATTGTCGAAAAGTCATCCATAAAACGTAAAACTTCAAAGTAAGACAGTTCGCACTTCTTGTGTGCACGACTCTTCGGTTGCGGTGTACATTGTAATTTAAATACAAACACTCCTTTTTTTTCTCTTCGTTCTCTCTCTTTCTCTCTCTCTCTTCAGTTACTCTTGTTAGCTTTTGGCGGTTAACATACTCATATCCTCCAATTGCTCAATTTTGAACATAGACCTTTGATCCTTAAAGTGGATGGTTACATTTCTTGATGGTTTGCCAAACGATGATACATAAACTGCTTCAACACCACGCAGCCGTACACACACACTACATAAAGTTTACTTTCGTTAAGTATTCCAACAGGACGGCTGGATTTTCAGTTTGAT